GCTAACTGTCAAAAGGCCAGGCAAGCCATAAATATTCTTTACGCTCAATTGGTCTTAACAGTACTGACTTAAATCCAGTTACATGTGTTAATATATGGAAAAAATGGTTTTGCCTACAGGTTTCTATGGTTGTGAAACCATGCCTACGCTATATGGCAAAAACATTAATCTGGTGGAAAATACCCAACGATATTTTGCTAAATTTATTCAAGGGTTAAACAGACGTATGCCAACAGATTCTGTATGTGCCAACCTAGGTCTCTGGACAATGGTTGGGTACATTGACAAGTGTAGATTATTATTCCTTGGAAGATTATGTAATAACGCTTGTAATTCATCAACGAAAACGCTCTTCTGTGCATTCTTATCACTCACTGTTCACTTAAATATCAACTCACGCAGTATTTACTGGACTATCTCTTATGTACGGCACGGTCATATAATCTGGCGCAGAATAGTTGTAAGTTCTGTCTTCTCTTATGAAGAAGCTCAATGGAAATTGAGACTCTCCATAAGATAGGATATGTCAGATATGCTGTAATCCATCAAACACTGAGTCTACATAGACTTTACACTCTAATGTATCTGTACCCAGAATATAAAGACCATATACAACTTGCTGTACTAGTCGGTTCTAAAGCCAAATTCTCAAAAGAATGTATGCTTTGTAATAAGTACTGCTATGACCGAGATGCCCACATCATTTTACATTGTGAATCTGCAATGAGCCAAAGAAATAATGACATGACACTACTTGACCTACTGGACGTAGAATTATATGTATTTATTGAAATGCTTGATGATGAAGATGCCCTTGTACTGTTTCGTGGTGCAAAACTTCACATCCCTGGCCTTCATGAAACAGCATGGCAAACCATCACACTACATTTTTCGAACTATATCTATTCTGTAAAAGATTCCTTGATGTATACTTTCTGAACTATCATTTTTGTAAATAATCGTGCTTTTATACATATAATATGTACATATATGTAACTGACTGATGTTTGTTTATGTAACCTTCGAATATCCTTTTTGGAGGAAATAATTCATTCATTCATTCATTTATTGAAAAACTGATCATGCCATTTTGCCATTACCGAGTAATACTGGCATGAAAAATGAGTGTATCTGAGAACGTACCACTCTCTGAAGTAGGTACTATAGTCCAGTTGGGGGTTAGTTTCGTTAACAAAAGTTTGATAAGCACAACAGCCATCGTGCCTTTGGTGTATTGTAGGTGTCCTATATATAGATATTATACCATGTGATTACACATCTGGTCATGAACCAATATTTGTGATCATAATCCTGCAGTTGAATCAGTTGTGGATTTCTTCAAAGCTGAGTTGAATTTAGTGGGGCTTGCCGTCACATTGACATTATTCCAGTCATATAGTGAAGAGATCAAATCTGCATTCATAAACATTTTAAATACTAAGTCCAAATGTGTCTTTTTTTTAAAAAAAACACCATATATAAAACAAGCAAGTCGTCATGCACATTACATAGTTACAGTTTATAATACAGGTCAACTTCCCTCCGGAAGTTAACAATAAGATGCCCGCTCACGTGGGAAAACATTTTGCATTTGAAAAGTCTGCACAGTAAAGCAGAATATGCTTCATGGTGAACACTTTGTCGCAAGAGACACACAAAGGGAGGTCCATCTCCATCTGTTGTTTTACAGCAGATAGTCATGAGTAAACCTACTGTGGCCAATACGACATCGTCGTGAAATTACCTCATAACAACTCGACTGACAACCCAAGTAGGTATAACCAATTGTTGGCTTCAATTCATGAAGTCTATTTAATCCTACTTTTTGCATGAGGTCCGATATCTTCATGTATGTACTACTGTAGACTACAAAAAAGGCGAGCGTCTCAAGCCATACCGGTGGCATCCATTACAAACGTATGTAAAAGACAATTGTTCACCTGAAAAGTTTCGGGAACCCAAGGTACAAGTCAAACTAAGGAATTGCATCTGACAACATTTTTTGTCCCTAGAACATCAGAATGTGAAATGTCCACATGACTACCATACAACCAATGTTGCAACCCTGATCGAAATTCTGGGCAAGTGTCTTATCACGATCTTTTAAATCTTAATAAAGGAGCATGCCTCGATTATACCCCCAAAGTAGTGATATTTAAAACATCAAACATCTAAAAATCGTTTTGGTGGTCATTTTGAAAGTCTTCATCAAAATGCCCTATTTTGATCGCATCTGAGGTTTAAAGAACCTTTTCATTACCTAATATTAACAATGTCTGAATTTTGACGCAAAAATCATTTTGATAGGCTAGAACTGCAAGAGAGACCATGCAAAGGTTAGAGTACATATGGTCGAGGATATAGACGGAACAACACCTGGTCTTAAATACAGTGGATACAGGAAGAGACGGTTCACAGCCTGCGGAACGGTACCAGGTGAACGGCCGCAGCATTTACCGTCACCCGCAGCACATTTGTGCCTTCTGCAACTTCAGGGTTGAGTACTGATCCTCTTCATCCTCATTTCACTCTGTGTTTATTCCGGACATATTTTACAGATAAAATGTGTTCAAGAGGCTTTGGTTCCTAATGATAATGACAGTGACATATTTATCAAATATAATGTGTTCACGAGGCTTTGGTTCCTAATGTAATGGTAATAACAGTGTTAAATGTACCATTATCACAAACTAAATGACGACTTTCGATTGCGTTTCTGAATTTTTATTCGCATATGATTTCTTACCATGAAGTAAGTGCATTAACAATGCCTATTGTCTACTACAATCAAACATAGATGTACTATTTCCATGACAGATTTCACAGATGGGTATGATAACAACACAAATGCATACATGTTTCTACATGTAATGAAAACATGTATTTGTTAGGAGGCAAACGTCAGCGTCTTACAAAACTGAATCAAATACACAAATACTGTAAAACATTTTACAAAATAGTAAAAGCCAGTAGTGCGATACTACTCTAGACCATAAGCATGAAGACATGATTGCTGTGATGTTAATGTGTTTTTCACAGGTGAACTATTGACATTTGCATGTGTTTGTGACGATACAGTCAGTGGGGGAGAATATGCTTATGTCTTCGCGAACACCTGCCATCATCACTATATATGAGTGGTTCACATCGGAATTATACAATTAGCGGGGTTTTCCTATTTCTTTACTGATTTTGCATCACAAGGGATAAATATCTCAGTGTTAAAAGTGTTAAGGACCTTTTCAATAATGTTAATTATCATTTATCAAAAGAAATAGAACTGATTGATAAATATTGATGCATATGTTTTGGACTTACATGTAGTTTAATGATGGTAGTTTAGATTAGTAACTGAGATTGTGGAGTGGCTGTATTCTCAAAGGGGTTTAAGTATTGTAAAATTATTTTCCTCCTGAGAGCATACGTCACAAAAATTTCAAAGTAAATTTTAACCTACCACATTTTTAATCGTAGTATTATTGTCATTTTAATTTGTGGCTAATTCTAAGCACAATCGCCAATGGCTGATGGGGGTGGTGTATATCCAGCTAGGGTCCATGCAGGTAACAAAGTACCGGAAGTCCCCATCGACCCTAGTATGGTGATCTACATTCAGTTGTTGGCGATCTATAGCTTGTTTTATATTATGCATTGTCCAAGTAGTGCTATTAATTTTGACTTTACATGCTAGTTTTAATTCTAACTGTGGTAGTCTAGTTGGTTTTACTATCTTTTGACGACATGGTTTATAATATACGCATATTCTTTATCAACATCGAATTTGTTCTCGTCACGATATGGCTGAAACATTGCCGATGTGACGTTAAATGTTAAACTCACTCACTTCTTTTGCTGTATTAAGGGCTTGATCATTATTATTATTATTATTATTATTGTGAATCACTTCCAAATAGTGATAATAGCAGTTGTAAAATGTGTATATGAGTTTGACTCGTCATTTGTTCGCAGGCAAGCTATAAAGAGATATATTTATTTACTTTCTAATATCTTGTACAAATTACTAATGAAATGTGCATGTCGTTTCTTCTGAGACTGAAGGCTTTTGAAGGTTAATGCAACATTTTCTTTGAAGGAATGCCTCTCAGAGAAGGAAGATGTTCTTTGTTTTGTTTTTTTTTGATAATGGCCCCACTTAGCTATATTCCAGTTTTGTATATGAAGGCAGTCTGGAGGTAATCGCGTCTGCATCAGACAATCCAGTGATA